CCTGTGCTCTGGGCCCCTAAAGCTGCTTCCTCCTCCTCGCCATCTCTTCGATCGTCCTCCTGCATGTGACCGCCCTTCCTCAACGTCAGTCTCCTCCTGCTAGCAGCAGCTTCTCACCTCCTCCCCAGCTCCAGACTCTCGTCCTCCAGCTCCTCCCTGCTCCCCTCATGCCCCTCCACTCGCAGCCTCACTCCTCCTCCCTTCACCTCCACCGCCAGCGTGACGTCTGCCCGCTCCCTCACCTCTCCCTCGCTCTCCTCCCTCGTCTCTCCTGCCCACACTGTGCTCCCACTCCCCCACCCCCAGAACTCCGCGGGCAGCCCGTCCTCCTCCGGCGACGCGAAGCTGTGAGCAGGGGCTGAGCGCGTGACGAGAGGGGCACAGCAGACCTGGAGAGAGGAAGTACGTGCAGGGCGCGGGGCTGCTGCTTGCGCTGCGAGCTCTTTTCGTCCCAGAGCTGCTGCGAGATGAGAGGAGGAGGACAAGCGAAGGTGCGGGAGGCGAGGATGCGAGGAGGAGGAGGAGGAGGAGATGGAGGAGGAGGACGGGGAGAAGCACTTCACCTCTCCTACGCACTGATCGACTCCTGCTCTTCCTCCTGCTCATCCTCGTCATTCGCATCTCATGTTGCCGCTAGTTGTACCTGTCAGGATGACTGCATGCTCCAGCTGGACAAGCTCCTCGATCAGAGGCTCGAGCCTCACCCGAACCTCCTCCTCCTCCTCCCCGGCGCTGACTGAGGGACTTTGCGTCAGCGCGAGAGAGTAGAGGAGGAAATGACAAGGAAGGAGAGGAGGAGGAGGAGGAGGAGGAGGAGCAAGAGGAGCATGATGAAGATAAAGACATGGATCTCGTCCACCATTTCCAGAGCTACGAATGTACAGGACGAGGCTGTCGGTTGACTTGTCTCCTAGCGAATCTTGAAGAGACTGAACGACCAATCAAGAAGAATGGAAAAGAAGTGTAGGAGGAGAACAGGAGGGCGAGGGCGGAAGAAAGAGGAGGATGAGCAGGTCAGGAAGAGAAGGAGGTAAGAAGGGGGAGGTAGTGAAGAGGAGAGGAGCAGAGAGGTGGGAGGGGAGAGCTGGGTGTGGAGGAGAGAGAGAGAGAGGAGATACTGAGAAAGTTTCTTTGACGTCTTCAGCAATTGCTCTTCTTTCCTGCATCTCA